AATATTATTATATATATAAAATATATAATAATAGTTACTCTGCTCTTCCCTCTGCACAATTCCAAATGCAGTTTGCTATGGGAGAACATCTGTATAAAGTTTTTACTGTAAAATCTTACCAGAAAGCCAACATCTGAACTACAAATGTTGCCAGAATTCCTTTTTTCTTTTTTTTCTGTTGTTTGTTTGTTTTAAACCAAGGCTTTGCCCACACGTTAACCGGGCTGTTGGAGCTTCCAGTGCAAACGAGATCAGACTTGAACAACTTCTGTTTGCAAAAAAACCTGCTGGCTTTCTGCCTGCAAGGTCCTGAATTTCTGTATTCCTAGCGGGAGACCTTACGGACCACAAATGGGAAGGTTTACTGAATAAATAACATACAGTAGAAAGATCTTTGAGTTAAGTCGTGGTGTTTTGGTTGTTTTATGTCCCCCGAGGGCTGGTGTGCCCCAGCAGTCGCACGTCAGTCAGCAGGTCAGTACTTTTCACAGCTGTATAGGTCAGTGTTCCACAAAAGGCTTCTGACAGCCAGACCTCTAGGCGTTGCGGTCTTAAATTCTGGGTGTCTTTGCTAAGCTTAGTTTTCCTGTGTGACCATGTAACCGTCCCTTTGAATCCTCCCATTAATCGATGGCTCTGGTATCAAATTTAATCTTCTTGTGATCTTTCCAAAGGTGTACACCTGCTTTTGTCCCCCTCCTCTTTTACTCCCTTATCAAAGTCTGTGTTGTTTCTATCCTCCCTGCTCTGCTTTTGTTTCCAGCGTGCCTGTTCTTTGCTACCATCTTTAAACGCATCTGGGCTTCCTGTCACCCCTATTTTAGCACCGTTCAGGCCGCTTTTCATGGTGAATGAGATGAACTTCAATACGCATTGCTCAAAAACTGTCCGTTTCTGTTCTTTCTCTAAACCTTGCTTTCACGCCCACCCCTAATATTGCAAGTCCGGTAAAACAGGGAACATCACAACTGTCTGGAAGGGCTGGCACATAGCAGCTTCCGCAGCTGATTACTGTTAAAATATATATATGCTTGCCCATGCTGTCTAATAATAAAGCTGTAATTTGCCAAACTGGTTTAAGAAGATGTTGGATTTAATGTGATTGTAACTGCTCTACATTTTTTTTAAAACTTTGTCTTGCTCCTCTTTCCGTCAATAGACAACAAAGTTTACAAGTGCTTTGGATATACCTGTGCAGTTTGTAGAAAAGAACGTGAAATTGCGGGGAAAATTACTTCACATAACTGAGAAAGGCCTGGAAGTTGAACACGTTCCCATTAGCATTCCTTTCATTACAGCGATACAGAGAAAATGTAAGTAAAAGGATGTGAAGAACAAGGGTAGGAATGAAATGTTGTTGTTCTTAATGTGTCTACGCAGAGAGCAAGCTTGAGAAGAAGGGTTAAGGTACAATTCTGGCTCTGCCTTTTGGTCTTTCCATATTTTACAGGTGGGAGACTGGGGAATGAAAGACTGCAAGGAGACCTGTAAAAGAGCTTGCCAATACCGTATTGGTATTAATTAGCATCATTATCTGATGGTATTATTGGTATTAATTAGCATCATTATCAGATATTTTTCTGGCAGCAAAAGCCAGCACAGAGGCCATTCATTTGCTTGCATAGCTCATCTCCTTCCTGGCAAAAAAACTCTGCTGGGATTACGCTGTTATTTACAGGTGAAGGTCTGACAACCAACTTACTCTTAGGGACAGCTTTCCTGCGACTTCGCAGAAGTTGTCCATCAAGTCTGAGGGTCACGCTCCTGCCTTGCGAATACCTGCAGGTGCTGATGCTCTGTTTGCAAATGCCTGCAGGCGCTAATGCTTCTTGCCTATTGTTTCGGCCCCTTCAGATAAAATAATAGTGACTGATAATGAAAGCAGTGCTTTCTATTTGTATGCAAAATAAAACAAGCTAGCTTAAACCACTTACGCAATCTTGAATTAATTTTTTTTACTGAAGGAGAGGTGAGACTGAATTCTTATTTGTGAGTAAGTAGCTCTTTGGGGAACTAAAATGGGTTATTTTTCTTTTTTTTTTTTTTTTTTTTTTAAGTCCATGGGAATAAATTCATTACCAGCAGCTGAGGGTCTATGCAAAGCATGAAATTTCCTTTGCTGCATTCAGTAACAAGGTTCTGTCTTTCTATAATCAGGGCAATCAAAAGGTCTTCTGCTGGTAAGACTTGCTGGAGTGGAGTTGGCTCCGAGCGGCATGGCCTGGTTACAGCAAGAGTTAAAACCCAAACAAATGATATGGTTCCAGCTTCTCGGAAGGGAGGACTTGGCACTCGAGTGCCTTGTTTTAGTAAGTAAGGTAGATATCGTGACAAAAATTGATTTATTTTTTTTATCTGCAGAGTTGAGTTTGTAGTTATGCAATTCAGTCATCTCAGTATGTTTAAGAAATGCTATTATTTATAATTTATCTATCTTGATATGAATTGTAAATATTGTATTTGTAAATCTGATTTCAAGACCAGTATTTTTGCAGCCTGATTCATGACACGAGTGTATTTCTCTGTCAGATAGTGCTAGGCTGTATCGTGTAGTTCTGATTACCCTGATGCTTAGTCCATCAAATGTTCTCTCGTGAATGTCTTGCATTAGTATTACGTTTTAACAGTCAGCTGGATTCCTCTTAACTTTTAACTCTTTCTGCCAGAGAGTAGATTTAGCCAGAAGTAAAGCCTGTATCTCAGAGGGAGTTCACACACACACACACAAAAATAAAACTGTTTTAAAGGTGAAGTGAATATTGTATTTGTTGTGCCTTCGTATAGGGTCGATTTCTCAGCGTGTGCTTAAATGAAGAGATCTTGAGGCAAGGGCTTGGCAGAACAGCACGTATTGAAGGACTACATCATGATTCCCGCCTGTACTGGAAACTTCACAAAAGACTGCTTCGAGCAGAGTTAAAGGCCTTGAAGAAAAATAAAGGAATATGGAAAGAGGAAAGCTACTCTGAAAGAATTAGAGATCGTATGAGCAACAATAAACTCGTACAGACATTGAAAAAATTTGTGAGCTGGTTAAGAAGATCCGTTTAAAGGTAAAAAGGGAGACTTGTTTGGAGGAATGCCAGTTACCTATGTTATGTGCTTTATGTAAAGAAGTTGTTTATGATAAAAAACAGTGCCATAATTTTGAGGGTCCCTGTCTTGAACAGAAAACCCATGAAGTTACTTAATGCCATATTATAATCCATGTGGGATTGAACTTTAGTAGTAGTATGCAGGTCACAAATTAAAATCATCTGAAACCAAACTTTTCCACACTAATGTCGTAAATTAGTTGTCCGGTTTTCCACCTGCTAAATACCTACACAGCTGTGTTGACTAACTAGCAAAAGCAGTCAACAGTCCAGTTTTTAAGAGGTGCAGAGTGTTAGTTCAGAATGTATGGCCTTAAATGCTTCTCTGTTACGTGTCATTACTACGTAACCCATGTTGGTTAGAAAACTCCATTGCAGGCCTTTACAAAGCTTGTGGTATGTTTTTACACACGAGCATTTTGTTTGAATTCTATTCTTATACTACTTTTGTGTATAATTTATGTTTTAAAAATCTTTCATCTTGAATAATGGGTTGCATTGTTACCGAGATAAAAGGTAATTTGTTATGGCTGATCTTAAAAAGCTGATAAGGTCATAAGAACTAAAGTTTCTTGGGGGAAAAAAAAAATCACTTGGTATATCAAAGAATATGAATTAATATGTCAGTAATCCAAATTTTTAGAAGACAACATTTAATTGAAGAGGAAAAACTTATGCTGGTTTTTCTGATGGTTCTATAAATATCTAAAATTAGATGAAAATAAAACTGGAACAGGAAATTTGAACAGGTGAACTATACTGTGCTAAGAACTTAAATTCTTGTTCTTGTTTTACTTTTGAAAGGTGTTAAGTATATGAGAGTGTATTATTATTTATTTTGTAAATATTCTCAGAATAAAGATTGAATTTCTTACATTCGTTGTTACTTGTTTTATATACCAAGCACTTGACCTTTTTTTAACCTCCCGCAGTCCCAATATTTATTTAAAGTGAAGTGTTCTACAGATTTTCTTTCTTTCTGTGTATTTCCTTGCCGATCAAATGCTAGGGATAAGAGTGTGGTACAAAAAAATCTTAATAGCTGAGCATTGCTTGTCTGACAACTAGTTGCTATGTCATCGTTTTCTCTGCTGACTTCAGGGCAAAATTGTGAATTCTGAGATGCTGAAAAAAAGCAGCTTTTCCTCAAGTAAGAATAGATGTCAGTGCTGCTTTATTACTTTTTGTCCTGGATCCTCTCAGGGATGAGGCTGGTTTTTGCAAAGCACGGTGAGCAGCAAGCCATGAAGTACCTGCAGCGCAGATCTGTGTTGGAAACCAATGTGGGGGGGAGGAGAAGTGGCTCTGTGGGCAGAGGCAGGCCTTGACGGAAGCTGGAAACCAGGTATCTGTGCCTGTTTTAAAAAATAAAAAAAAAAAAAAAAGTGAGGCATCTGGTTTTATGCATTATACAGTGAAGGACTGGGACAATTGCTGCTGTGGTACTTGGACATCAAAGTCATACAGATGGTCAGGGATTCAGGATCGGCCGTCACATCCTCCAAAGCAAAACTCAGAGCTGACTTTTAACCCCAAACCACAAATTCAGTCTCAGCAATAATCCACTTCTCATGGGTGATTATAGGTGTTCCTGTTCCTACATCTTGTAAGTAAAAAGAGCGTTTCCAAACCGAGCGTAATTGTGCAGTTATAATGGTTTTTTTTTGCTGTAATAATTAAATATAATTCTACCTGGGTTTTGCACTTCTGTTTTGTAAATGAGTCATAGGAGGATTTATCACAAAAATCCACTGTAAAGCTGAGAGAAAAATCTCAGGAAACCGCATGCTACATTTTTAGCAAGCAGAGGTGAGGTGTGAGTGAATATGAACCAAGTTTGTTCCCTTGCAGTCTTGCCTCTTAGCCGTTTTTACCCTTGATGGACTCAGAAAAGCCCTAGAGATTTTTCTAAATTACAGCAAATTGTTGTATCCTTTCCATTAGGTTGTGGCTTGTAAAGGATTTTTAAAAGGTGGCGATACAGCTGCTTTATCACTTATTTAGCCTCCTCTTAGTTTCAACTAAATTTTTAAGTTTCCTTCCCTGTATTTGTGGCCATGAGGTAGTCTAACAAATAATTTCAGAAGGAACTATGGAGAGGGATATCTAAAAATCTTTGAATTCAGGCCTCTGATCTTTTTTCACATTTGTTGCACAGGACAAGAAGTTTTGGTGATGTGCTTTTACTACAGTTCTTGGTCAGAATACAAACCCAGGGAAGCAGCTTCGTGTATGGCATCAGTGCTGTAACAGACAACACTGGTCTGACATAGAGCAACCGAGTGGTGCGGGATTTGAGATTGTAGTGACAACTGATCTCATGGGAGTCAACTCCTCTTAATTGTTTGTTAATGCTGTTTTCCTTATCGTCCAGGGCTTATCTGTTTTTAAAAAAACAACACACCCTCCCCCCTCAAAAAAGCACAACTCGGTTCAAAGCTGTGCTTTCCATCTGTGCAAGGCTTGAGAGGTTGCAGATCTTGTCTCTGTGGGAGGCCTGTCTATTGAAAAACCGGTAATGGGAGTAGAAACAAATAGCTCTGCAGAACTGAGTTGAAGAACTGACTGGGAGGTCAGGGTGAGAAAAAGCACTTTTCTCCATCATATAAAAACACCCCACATTGCCTCTGAGGAGCTCTATCCCATTCCTTCAACCACAGCAGCAACGCATGCAAGAATATTTCCAAGCAGAGGATGCACTTCTTGTGTGATTAGGCATAAGGACAACAATTAAACTGTTTAGCTCTTGTGCCTTTGCCCCTGCAACTGAATGCTCTGTGAGCAATACAACATTTTAAAGGGATCATAAGGAGTGAAAGGAGACGCCTCCAAATGGCCCACTAAGAAAAATATCTTCAGCATTGCACAGGCTTTTTATTGCTGGTGCGGCATGTAAGGCAAATGGTTGTCATAAACATTACCAGCCTTCCTCGGAGCCCACCCAAAAGCGGTGGGCAGGGTGCTGTTAGCATCCTTTCCTGACAGACTAACAAAGAAGCTTGGCCCTGCGCATGGAGCGAGGCCTCGCCGCCGCACAGCGATGGGCGTCTGGGGGGGCTTCCCCCTGCCAAGGTCCCTGGGACAGGAGGGAGAGCAGAGTCACCTTCCTCAGCTTACGTCTCTCGTTCATTGCAATATCCCCACTCTTTTCCCAGTCTGTCAGAGCTGACAGCTGCTGGTTCCCTATAAAACGCTCCTCAGCCACACACGGGACTATCAGATATAAAAAGTTATAATTTCAAAAGCAGAGTTTGAGACTTAACCTCCTCCAGCAGAGAGGCGCGTTCTCTCGCGCCAGGACTTTTGTTGGCCGTCGGTAAATTTGCTTTCCCATCAGGGAAATCAGAGCTGTGAAAGTACCGGTTATCGCTCCCCTGCCGTTAGGTTCCGTTAGCCAACGCAGGTGAACAGCCCTTCCAAGTTCATCGTAGATTTTTAAAGGGGGAAAAAAAAAAAAAAGTCAGTCAAACCCGATGATTTCCCTCCCCGGATCCCGGCCTGCTCGGGGGAAGGTCCCTGAAGGCCCTCTCCGACTCCCGGGTCCCGCCAGGGAGCTGTGAGGAAGGGCGGTCCCGCCCCACCCCGCCCCGCGGCAGGGGCGGCGGGGGTGGGGGTTTCGCCCCGTCCCCCCCGCCGTGGGGG